ATCTCTGAAATAACTGTTACGCTCATATAGTGTTTCTTTCAAATAAGTGGAGTAAACTTCATTAAATAAAACAAAACTAGGACTTTGAATACTTGTAGTTAGTTACACCTCAATAAAACTTTAGACTGAACTAAAACAATTATTTGAAACACCTCGCTTCCTTTGGCTTGTTTCTCTTGTTATCGCTCAATTGCCTGATTTATAATGCAAGTGTTCGCACACGTATTACTCATTAATTACTTTCTCCACAATATGTTCGAACAACAATAAATGAAGATGTATTCAGTGAATGATCAGTACCTCACTTGCCAATTGTTCATATTTGAGATGGTACTAACAGAGATGTTGATACTGGATAACAACTCACTGTTTTAACGTTTGTTTGAAGGTGGTTGACAATGAATATTATATTGAAGATGAAAAACCTCTCGTTGACTCTGCTTTGAGCAATGATTCAAATAATGTATGGAACATAATAGAATCGAAAAATAAAGGACATCCAACCAGAAGGATCGACTTCACCAATACACCGATAAGTGACATCTTCGGGGGGCAACTAAAGTCGAGCATTCATCGCAACGTGGACCACATTACCGAGAATACCCAGCCTTTCCTCACCCTGCCACTCAGCATTGAGAAAGTGAAGACCGTCAGAGAAGCGCTTAAGGTACTTGTCTCCAAGAATATTTTAGAGGGAGTGACTTCGTCGAAAACAAACGAGAAGGTCAAAGCTTGAGAGCAAATTACGCTCTGCAAACTTTCCGTTATCCGTATTTTGCATCTGAAGTTTTTCAAATACAGCAACGACGGTTGCATGAAGATTATCAAGGCTTTTGATTTTGAATTCGACTTTGATATCGTCGGAAACACAGTCTCCAACAGAGAGACAATAGCTATTCGCTGTCGTTTACCACGAAGGCAAAAATGCCAACATGAATTCAGCGTCTGGAATCTTACGGATTTTCTCTTTTTAGTTTTCATTGAATTTGATATGTTTCTTTGTTGTAATGAATTATTTTATTATTTCATTAGTGATAAGTATTGTTCAATTTTCAATGATATATGTATTTCATTTATGTAAAATAAAAATTGAGCAAAAAATCAAAAAAATTGAACAATTAAAAATAAATAAAAAAATTGAAATTGAAAGATTTCAATCCAAGTTACTTCACGACGTTTCGATTCTTAGTATCCACAATCGTCTTAGGCTGATGACTGTCATCACCCAAAGCTTGACTTGAAGTCTTTCAATTTTTATTATTTTATTTCATTTCAATTGTTCAATTTTAATTTTTTGCCTAATTTTCATTCCATTGTAATTTCTTTCCAGGTTTTTTTTTGCTTAATAGGGGAAGGGTGGGCATAGTGGCCACTGCGGGCAAAATTGCCACTTGAAGTTTTCTTCCCTGTATAGTGCTGCTGCCTCGCGGCAATAGTCTCAACTACTCGCCCGGCAGCCGCTGTTATTGTGTTGTAGTTTGGTGCCGCTCAGACGCAAGCTAACCGAGATATCGCAAATTTTCCACTTTTTCGATCCTCTGATGTTAGGTAAGTGCATCACATGTTTCGCTTTATTTCATTGTAGACCTAGGTAAAGTGAATTGTACATCAATCGTGCAAAACAACATGTTTCTAGCTTTGAATTCATATGTCTCAACAGTAGATACCACAATTGGTTGTACGTAAAATATTATATTTAGAAAATGGCGTACGAATGTGTCCACTTTGCCCGCAATGTATGTTGCATGAAACTTGATTTTTGAAACTGCTTCAAAGCCACCGTTTCTGAGATACGACGAGTCAAAAAGTTGTAAGAGTTGTAATCGTCATTATATGCACACGTTTTCACGCCACCTATGAGGTAGTGTACTTAGCGCGTTTTTTTAACGTGGTTTCCCCAGTAGGCCTATTCCACATGTCTGTTGAGATTCTGTCAAATTGAAAACTTGCATAATAAAATATATTAGGAAGGTTTGGAAATTATAAAAGCGATTGAAATTAAAAAATGTAAAAAATTCATTCATCTGAATCATAACCTTCAAATACTTCTTTTCGTCGTTCATCTTCTTGGTCTTCTTCTTCTTCTTCTTGATCCTCTTCTTCTTCTTGATGTTCATCCTGGGTGTAGGTAAACTGCGTCAAGAGTGATGTATCGCATGTTTCCTCCTCGTTGGTATCAAATGAATCCTCCACTATTGGTGATTCAGCATTAGAACATGACTGGCCTTGACAATATGTACATGCCAGAGAATACAACAGTCCAACTTTTTTACAACCACATTTAGCGATGCATCTCTTTTTACAGTTGCAAAAAATTGTGTTCAGCAGTTTTTCCGGCGCAAGTAGGAGCAAGTCTGAATAGGTTCTAATGCATTGTCGACCAACTTCCAACCCCAGTCTTTTGGGTCTAGCTGATAACCAAGCCACACTTGAACTTGGTAATATACCCGAAAAAGATGTTGATGAGCAGCAACTGAGGTTAGAGGAAGGTAAGCTAATTGCATCTGTTTCTTATTTTCAGTGTTTTTACGAAACATGCATATCGATACTTATCTAAGCAGGTGGTTTTTTTCGGAGCTTTGTACATAGAAAGAAGAAACTGAATCCCGTTGGTGATAATTTCTTGTTGAGCCGAATCACTTTTTTTGAAAACTTCAGCACATTAAACTAAATCTTAAAGACTGTTGCTTTACCCCTCCTGTAAAATGCAGACGTCGTATCACAGCCAGTTATTGCGTGTAAAAATAGTACATGATTTTGACCCTTTGCAAAAGTAGATAAACTTTTTGACGAATATATTTCGGTTCGACTTTGTGCTTTTCCTGGCTTTAGAAAGAAAATAGTTTTTTCAGGTGGAGTTCGAGCAGTAAGAAGTACGCGTAGTCTACATCTTCACCAACAACAAGAGTTGTATTTGTCAAATTGAATTGCTCTATAGCTGTTTCAATAATCACTACATCGGCAGCGTTATAAGCCTGTTTAACCAATATATTTTCGCCAATAAACTTATTCTTCAACATTGAAATGAACCGAGATTTGTTGTGAGAATTTGCAAGAAATTTCTGTTGACTGATAGGAAAACTGTCATAAGTTCATCAAATAGAATATCGGAAGATGAAGATGTTGCTGTTTTGGCTCAAGGTTACACTAGCGTACAAATTAAGGAACTGGATTTCATTCTACCTGGTATTCTTATATTTATACTTATGTACACAATAGAAAAATATTTTTACTTAAATTACAACTGCAGAGATGTATATACGTGGCATACTTATGCATATAATGACGATTACAACTTTTACAACTTTTTGACTCGTCGTATCTAATGGTGGCTCTAAGAAAAAAAAGTATTGATACATTTTTTGTGGAGAATTTTATGATCTACAATTTTTATTTGAAATTATTTTATAATAAAACTTACCGTTTTCCTGAAAATCGCGAAAAACAGATTTTTGAACTTTGACCTCGAATATATTTTTTTTCAGGCATCGCAATCAATCGGAACTTCAAAATCTTGTTTTTAACTATGTTTTGAACAATTACACGAATTTACAACTTGTTGTAAATTTATGTACCTTCACTCTTATTTTTTACTCTAATTTGACCGGACTATATGCAGAATACACATATAGAGGTTAGGTGTTTGGGAGTATCTCTGGATGAATATCTCTCTTAGTAATTTCATTGCCAACAATTATCTTCCAAACTGAATTCTTTGTAATTTCTCTCTATCAATTTACGATCTGTTCTAGAAGTGGAGCAGATGGTTAGTATTTATTATGCCCAAGTCGAATTGAGACTTGAATATGGCATTTGCCTAAGGGGCAATGCACCAGGTGCGAAATATATTTTCATTGCATAAAAACGAATTTTGAGATGTATCGCGAGAGTTTGTAACATGGAATCGTACAGAGCTAGTTTCAAAACATTTCGTGTTTTGACGCTTCCGTGTCTCTTCATTTTCGAAACGTGTGTCGATGTTTTTCGAAAATAAAAACACTTTTACTCGCAATTCGGATATTCGTGGTCATGGAACAAGAAAAATGCAACATTTTCATGTAAATTCGGCAAAAACAAAAATAATTTCATGTGCTCTTGATAATTTTGGCCTCAAAATATTCAACAATCTTCCAGAAGAAACGAAGTATACAAATAAATTGTCCCCATTCAAAGATGAGTTGAAGAACTTTTTGATGGAAAAATGTTTGATGGAAAAATGTTTTCATAGTAGATGTGATTTTATGAAAATTCATACTCTGTGATTAACTATTTGTGATGTGAATTTTAGTGTTTTTTTTTCATTTGAATTTTCATTTTATTTCAATGTACTACTCTACCAATTGACAATTCCAATACATGTAAACCATGTTGAAAAATGAAAATAAATTTGTATTGATTGATGGATTGAATGGAATTGCGAATATTACCCAAGCATTAGTGCTTCATCTATCTTTGTCTTTCTAGTGAATACTACAGTACACAGAATGAGACACAGCCGGTAAAAAATCGAAACTATGCACAAACAAATGGTATATGTAAGAGAGAGAAAGTAGTTGAAAAAATGCAAAATTTTCATGAGAGTCGCGATTTGGCAAGACTGAGATTTATATATTTGAATGAAAATGTTGCCTCAAACTCCATTAAAATTTTGAAACTACGCACTATTTTTGCGAAATTATCCTTGACGGAAATCATTTTTAGATACTCAAGTTAACAGTATAGTGAAAAATACGGAGGTTCATCACGGATTAACTGATAAGAGATATATTCCCGGTTCAGGTAAAATTTCACAAACAATTACATTGCAAGTATCGATAAATGATATGAATTCAATTGAGATTTGAACTGTTTCAACAGAAAAAAATGGTGGGCATTGAATTTCTTTCGTTTAATAACTGACAAATATCTGCAAATAGTTTCGAAATATACAAAAGATGAGATAAAGACTGGAAATACAAGAAATCATCGGGAAATTGTTTACTAAAAGATTTATATAAAATACACTGGATCAGCAGTTGTACTGCAGAACTTGTTTCATTCTATTGTTGAACGATAAAGGTACTTGAAATGAAAAACCTATTCTACTTGACAATTTTCGCTACATTGATAGTAGTAATAATGTCTCGTCATTATCACACCACAAAAAGTGATGAAGAACTTGAGACTACAAAGGTGAAGGAATCACTTCCAGAACCTGTTGAAGAAAACACAGCCGGGAAGGGGGAGAATATCCAGAAACCTTGTAAGTAACTAATTGTTCATGAAGGACGTACCAAATTTCGCCAATTTTCCAATGCTTTCCACTTTTCGAAATTAGATGCAGTATTTATTTTGTAATCTTACAAACTTCCTCTCGTTCATTGGTGTTAATTCAGGATACATTTGGTTGAATTTTCTACAAGTTCTGGCAATGATTTGATCACACTGTCCGTGTATAATAAATAATTTCATAATAACTTCGTTTGAATAATCAATATTTGCATTCATTTTTGGCGATTTTTTGAAACACCGTCAATAACCATTTATCAATTACTTATAAAAGTCACCAAACTGTCATAAGCTTGATATTTCCACGGCTACCTAGAAATCAAATGCTTTAAAAATTATTTTTTGTACAACTGTTATTGAAAATCTCTTTGATAGAAACACTTCAATCAGAACACCTACCAAAAAATCATTTAGAAAAGTTCACACATGCAGTTCGTGCTATTGGTAATATTAAATCTCTGTGAAGTTATTGACGATGACGAAGTAGTATTCAGTCCAACTGTAGAAAGTCCTTCATGACTAACCAATAATCCTCCTTAAAATAACGTGAGTTGGCGTATTTAGTTGTAACATATGCCTTGTAATCCAAAGATCGTGTGTTATCAGCAGTAACGTTATACAAAAAAAATTGTATGATACATTTGTTGAAAGTGATTTTATTTGGCTCGTGAGTTTGCTCCACTTGCTGACGCTCGTTTTGCAATAATCCCCACTCACAAAATAAAATGCCACTTTCAACACTTGTATAGGTAAAACGTGAATAACTATTTTTCCACAAAAACGGTTTAATTAAGAAAACTTGACGATTCAGGTATATGGACATGTATATCATCTTCAATCATTTTTCACCATCTTTCAATTTATCGAGTAATATTCAGGGGGTTTCATTTGAAAAAATGAACTTTCGACTACTTTTATGCACAATGGAAATAATAGTAATTTTAGCCCGCCCTGTATGATATAGAGTCGATTTCTTGGTGTTATTTGAATATTTCGTGTTTGTCCAAACTATCATCAAAATATCAACTTTTCATGAATTGAAAGTACTAATGTACTTAATTTCAATTAAAGCTATGTTTGGACCATATTTGGCACAATTTATTTTTCATCTCGAAAACAGATAGAGATAGGTATAAGACATTATCAGCAAAAAAGTATTAAAATATCAGAGCGATTCCAAAAATGTATTAATATACGGGGTGTCCTATTTAAAAAAATATAATTGCTAAGACTTTTTGATAGAAGTGGCAACGCCGCAATGCTGAAAATATTTTAGATCGATAGAACAGGTAAGGAAATGTGAGAGGTGGAATTTTCAGAAAAATCATGCTTTGCGTTTTTCAGAAACGTCTAACCTACCATCGACCGTGAGTCACGCTGTATAGTTTTCAGAATTCGATCTTTGTAAAAAAAATTTTTCATTTGAACAGATAGAGAAATATTCTCTGGAGGAATACGTTTTTGGGAATGAAAGATTTTTGTTTTTCTACTTCTCCATATCCATACACAAAATGTTGAGAGCAATTAGTTTAAAAATAAACTTTTTTCAGGAAGTTTCGGAAAAAGACACTGATCTTATTACCTCATCAGCACCATTATGGATCGCATTACAATATGAAGACCTCAATTCATTCATAACGTTATGACCTCATGTCACCAGAAGAGGCAAATTTCAATCGACTATGAACTCATTAATATGCTTTTTGAATCAATCCCAAGAATCTTTCCTAAAACCAAATGTTCACTAAAAAAATATACATCTTTCAATTTAAACTGTTTTTCAATGCATAGATATCTGCATCACATTTTTAAATGTATGCAGCGAAAATGTAAAACTGATTTTTCAAATGAATTATTTCTTAACTATTATCCCTACATTAGGAATTCAAGTCAACCTCAAGCGATTTAGTATGCATAGTGAGAACAATTAGAGCATCACCTTTGATAATGTTCACCTCAGTCGTAGACAAAACGTCAGTCATGAAAACCTCTAGACCATTGTTGACAAACCCGTAAAATACCTTCGACATATTCCGGCAGAGGAAAAAATAATGGAACATTCGTCGTTCATAGTTCTCAAGTAGTCAAACTTTGCTTCAAAAAGTAGGCGTATGTCTAGAATCATAATTCAGTGTCATGCATCTGACTGAGAATCAGCAACCGATGTTTCTCAATTGTAGGGTTATTTGTTTGGCGACACTAGACTTCTCTGTTCTACGAAATCAAATATAGACCACAAATTCTATGACACGAATTTCAATACCTCATTTAGTCGGACCAATATACGTTCTTCTCAGTCCTCAGAGATAATTTCATATAAGTACTATGAATCCAAAATAATAGGCATTAAATTCTCAGAAATAACTGACGTTTTTACCCTAATCTGTCTCTTGCAGTGGTGTACGGAAAGTATAGTTAACAGATGAGGACAAATGATGATAAAAAATATAGAATCGTAAGTTTGACAACAATGTTCTCGTTTTAATTATATTGTATGATACTGCCTCGTATAATGGAATTGTACTCTGATTCCCAAACTTTCCAATCAATATCATTTCATTTTAAATTTTTCTGAAGAGTATTGGAGGACACCCGCAATTTCAAAGAATTTTTCGTTTTACAGTTTTTTGAAAAATATACTCAATTCACCATTGCTTGATTCGTTGTCCTCATGTCTAGTAGATAATTCATAGAAACACTACCTGAGTTTAAGTTCTGCAGTTAACTGTGGAATACTTCAGTGATATTCCAGATAATACGAACAGAAAATATTGCTCCATCACTTTTTCAATAATTGTAGAAGCTGTTGGAAATATATCTGAATGTTATTCTTCAATTTGGATGAAAACTCATGGGTATGTCCTATGCATTCGAAAATTGTAGCTCTTCATTGTACTCAAATTCATAATGAACTTAATATCTGATGACCTGTTCTCAAGAGTCGACATGAAGTTCTGTATTTCTCTCTCGGTATCAATAAGAAGTTCCGAAACGAGCTATTAAATGAATTACCCGTATTTTCCATTCTCAATTCTATCATATTGCAGGTGCTGAAGAATGTTGCAACGGTTACCAATGTGCAATCTTCTGCAGATTGTTTGGATACTCATTCGGATACTGTTACGGAGATCAATGTCGCTGCTATTGATCATGAATTGTAGAGCAGAAGATCAGTAAATCTATGAAACCTACAAAAATATGTTTTAGTTTGATTTAACCCAAACCTCTCGAAAATGTGTGAACCACCAACAGAAGATTACTCAAAATATCGACACAATGTTATCTCAGAATGGAATGTTATTGTTACGTTCAGGAAATTTTTTGAAAGCTTCATTTCAATTTTATGTGAGAACTCAGAGTAAATTTATCGAATCTGAAACAGTCTCTGAAATAACTGTTAGGCTTATATAGTTGTTCTTCCAGATAAGTGGCATACAATTTCATTGAATAGTACAAAAATACGACTTGACATACCTCAATAAAACTTTAGACTGAATTGAAACAATTCTTTACTGGAACACCTCCTCGCTTTCTCTAGCTTGTTTCACCTGTTATAGCGTGATTCTCAACTGAACGCCACACTCATTCAAAACATTTTTAAATTGTCAGAAATCGAATTAAAAAAACAATACAAACATAGTATAACAATTTTCAATTGAAGGTAACTCATGTACAAATTGAACTGAGAGCTAACGGCAACAATGTTAAATGTTAGAACTAAATTCTTACCGGGGTCATTTTTATTGTATATGCATCGCCATTGTAACTAATTGAAAAGTAAGATGATTCCATAAAATTTGACCCCGTAACAAGATAGCTTCTGCATATCGATAGGATGTACGAGCGAATAGGTGGACCAGTTCGTTTAATACTCTGAAACATCGGTAAACTGATCAACACTTCGGAGGTTTATTATATTTGCGTCATTAAAATGCCATAAATAGTCATTCGGTTTCTTCATTATCAAGCGTCCTTATCTGCATAGGCGTAGTGTGTTCTGTTTCTTGTGAAGGTGACTTTGTTTTGTATTTAATAGATATATTTTATTATATTCATTAAATAGACTGTTATATTTATTAACTTTAAAATATAAGATAGAGTTGACCGATACTTGTTTTTTAAAATACATTATCGTAGATTTTCATCACATTCACACTTTATTGTGAGATAATTAGTTAACCTAGTCATTAAACATAGGTATAAATGTTCGTTAAAATCAGGTATAACTGTCATTAATTATTAGTTATAGGTAGATAGTAATATTTCAAAAAGTATATATGAATCACAATGTATGTAGAATTCAGTTCGTTAGTGAATACGCTTGAAAAAGTTACTGTGCAGCGAAACACGTGTTGCGGATTTGTTAATCTGTTTTAGTGAAAATCTCACAATAAAGTGTTTTTCAGAATACATCAACTCTAAAATAGTGTTTGAGGTAAGTGAACAACAGACAAATAGCTGAATGATATCATTGAAATTTATTATTTTTGTAGTATTAAGATGGATGCCGTAGCAGGTCCAAGTAATGTACAAAGAAAGCGGAATTTCATGTCGTTAGAAGAAAAACAGATTGTCTGTAGAGTGTACGAAAATTTAAAAAATACACTTCGTACAGTGGAAGCTGTAGCCCATTGTTCATTTTCAACGGGAATATCCGTGTCGACAATTGAACGCACTGTACGTGAAAAAAGATGACTGGCATTGTACAAGCTCCAAAAGTACAGTGTCGTGGTAAAATCAGGTAGAGTACCAGAAAAACGTTGTACGCTATACCATTCATTCTTTCTTTTTTGAGAATGAAGCGCCAACCCTCGAATCCATTAGGACAAAGGTAATGGATAATGATAATGAAATCTGTCTTAATAGAAAGACAAGATATAGTCTCATGGCGACGGAGATATCTTCGATCTATTAGAGAAATGCGTTCTGCTCACAAAAAGATTTATTATCTGGACGAAACGTGCGTGAATGCTAGTCACACAGTATCTAAGATCTGGCAATATACTACTGTAACTAGTTATCGTCAAGCATTTGTGGACGGTTTATCAACAGGGTTACGCAGACCGACAGGTAAAGGGCAACGACTGATTGTCGCCCATATAGGTAGCGAGAGTGGCTTTTTAGACGATAGTGTACTAGTTTTTTATCTAAAAAAAAACGGGGGATTATCACGAAGACATGGACGCCCAACGCTTTGAAGGATGGTTTGAATCCCTTCTTTCACGAGTCGTGCCAAATTCGGTAATACTAATGGATAACACTTCTTATCACAGCCGATTAGTAGAACAGCTGCCAACAATGACCACCAGAGAAGCAGACATGCAGAGTTGGTTAGGGCAAAAAGGAATTCCATTTTCCGAGGACATGGTTAAGGCCGAGCTTATGAGTGTCATTAAACAGCATCGTGACAGATATCGCCAGCATGTGGTGGATACAATAACTCGTGCTGAAGGCATCACCATTTTGAGACTTCCTCCTTACCATTGCGAGTTGAACCCGATAGAATTAATCTGGGCTCAAATTTAGGGTTACGTAGCTCATGAAAACGTAACATATAAAATTTCTGATGCCAAACGTTTATTATAACTCGAAATGAAACGGATACGGAAAGAAGATTGGGCTAATGCTGTAGCCCATGTGATCAAGGAAGAAGAGAAAATGTGGAGATTGGACGGGATGGTAGACATTGTTTTCGACCAAATAATTCATAAGCATTCCCTGAAGCTGCTGGTTTCCCTCCAGAAAAGAGCCATTCGCCTGATTGGAGACACAAACATCACTTGCAACGTTGATGATCTGTAACATCAAGGATAGGTTGGAGATTTGTCTCTCTTCTACAGATACTTTCACGGAAAGTGTTCAAGTGACTTGGCACATTCGATTTCACCAAGAGCGATACATATCAAAAATACACGACGTACTGTGACTGCTCATCAGAACTCCTTCATTTGGAGAACTGCCTCAAAGAATTTCCTGTAGTGCTTGTCTTTTGTCTCCAATAAAAAAGGCACAACTACTGAAGGAGAATCCTCGATTTGGAACGATATAGCATATATTCATTTGGAAAAACCATCTCGATAAGTTTGTTCCATGAGAACAATTTCCAACAAACGAAGGAATTTTTTGAAAATGTAGTCCCTGTAGACCTGAAAAATCAGCAGTCGCACATCATATTCTGCAACAAAACCATTCCATAGACTTCAATTCATTAAGATTAGTTAGACAAGTTAACAACAACAGGCAACTAGATGCCTATGAGAGTGTAGAAATAAGTAAACACAATGATATTATGAATAACGATGACGGACCTATACCAAAGAGCCATAGTATATAGCTTGTTAAAATAAAATAAGATAATGTTGTTGGGTTTACTGATTACTACATAAGGACACATTGCAAAAATAAATTTGGATAGGCAATATTGTGATATTAATTTTCATATAGCTGAAAATTGTTTTATATAAACATATATTGTAAAATAATAGATAAGGCAAAATTGTTAAATTAATTTAGGTTGGTATACCTGTATGGTTGGTACGCATGGATGGTTTACCTGTATGGGTTACCTATATAGCATAAATAGGGTTAGCTCGCATTAGTTTCTAGTTTTAATCTTCCTCTTTGAAGATGATCACTTGGTGATCGAAACACGTGTCGAGGTGTTAAAAATAACAATTTGGTGTTGGGAAAAATCTCCGGTAATATTCATTAATACACCGAAGGTTCCAAACAGTGCATCATAAGCCTGTAAGACAGGTTGAAAAGTCTGCAAAATAATGCTGCGAGTTCATTTGCGTCCTTTTTATGTACGATGACGGGCACTTCATCAGTACCGGACGTCTTGTTGATATTGGGCTGTTTCAGAATTCACCAAAATTCGCCATCGATCCTAAATAAATTAATCATCCCAGGTCATAAACACAAGTATTGGTTCTTGAATATTTTTGGTGAACGGTAATTATTATCATGAAAATGATATGACAAAAACTCTAGTTCAGCAATCGTCCCAAAATAAAACTGTAATACTTCCTTTGGTATCACAAAATGATTCAATTCGCACCATTTTTCATTTTCATTAAATATTAATCAAAAACATCAATAAGTAGTTTGTTATTTTCCGTCAGTAAGGACAAACTGATAAGATAGACATTTATTACTATAATTGATAAGTAATTGAAAATAGTGGAAATTTTGCATTCAATTAGAAATGCATTTTTTTTCAGCAATGCACTACAAAACAACAATCAGAGTCGACTTGATTTTGAAAAACACTTGTAGATAGCTATAGAGATGAAAGGATGATTGAAGATAAGAAAATACACAAAGATAGTTCGACCAGAAATATTCCTATAAATAAATTGGCAGCAACTTAAGAATTTCAGAACTGTAGCATATTACGATTGCCAAACAGTACTTATTATACAAACCGTATAAAAAAATGAAAGCCATACTTTCTGTAGCATTCATCGCAATTTTGGTAGTAATGGTTTCTTCTCGTAACCCTCACAACATCAAAAGAAATGATGAACATGAGGATGTTTCGGAGTTGAAGGAATCTCTCCCAGAGCATATCGAAGAAAACAGCGTGGGAATTGAAGTTTTCGAATCAGGTAATGAGTAATCCATATTCAGTAACTATTTAGGATATTTCACTTTCTAGGCCTACTGATGTTGAACAAAACTGAAAAATGAAAAAAAATCTTATAAAATAACTGAAATATCATATATACGACTGTTTAACGAGTTTTGTTCTTTTCTATACGATCAATAATTTATAAATACTGATGGTTTTTCTCTGGTACAAAAATATTGATTAATATGAGTCTCAAATATATAAGGACATTCAAAAACAATTTTTTTGTTCTCAAGGAGGTCTATAAAAAACAACAGAAGCTTTGCAAATACCCAATACTTTCTGTGTAACAGAACCTATGAAAAATTGATATAAATAAACTTGTCTATTTTCAATCCTTTTGCAAAAATATATTTTTATGTACTGTCGGTAACTCCGATAGTACACGGCTGGAAATAACTGTGTGAAAGCTATTTCTCCGGGTTTTCGGCCAACTGCAGGTTTTTATGCTTTTGATAATGTCTACCACGACTCAAAACATGCTGTAAAAAATGATGAATTACCTTTGTAACTTAAAGTGTACAGTGTTGTAATTGAAGAGAGTATATTTTCGGGAACAGATTAATTTTTGGGAAAGGAAGGTTCTGATTTTCTACTCCTCCATCTTCATACAAAAAGTGTGAATCTCCCTAAGAGAGAGAAAGCAATAAATTTCGAAAAATTAACTCTATACAAAGAAAAAGTCGTCTGCAAATAACTGCTTCCATATAAACAAAACACTTTTTCCTATTCAGTTTTGTACTCCAACAATTGGAAATGGAATTGAATCCGGTATCATCCACAGGATTGCTACTCAATATACTAAATGGAAGAGGTAAAATTAATCGGTAGTTTCAGATTTCTATATGGAGTGGACTTGAAACTATTATCCGGTCTTCATTCAGCTACAGTTTGGTTAAAAAAAACTTGAAAACCAAAGTTTTCAGTCTTCGTCTGGCCATAGTATTATTATATTATATTGTAGTTATAGTCAAATTATATTATAGTATAGTATAATTTCTAAAATCCCCTATTACGAGACTTCGAGAGTCTCCGCTTCATACTTATCCAGTATAGCCCAAATTTTATTAACTGAACCAAAATGATCAGTTGACCTACCAAGATGTTCAAAATTTATCCTAAATTGAGTTATAGACAATCTCTATTATTCGAATTTATATAACAATGTTTACCACTCTTGTGTTTTATATTCTCAAACCATATATTTGCTTTGTGAAGTAGATCATAAGAAATAGATATGTAGTATATTCTGATGCCTCCAAGTTAAAAACATATATCAGATATACTGGTTGAGAACTTCCAATAAAAACAACGATCACTGTTTGTTTGAATCGATTGAAATAGACATTGTGAGAAATTCATCAGGAAACGAACATTATTTTGTTTTTCATTGAATTTCTCTTGAGATGATACAAGATGACCCGTGAGTAAATATTTTTTTAATGTATTGATTTCAATTTATTCCAGACGAGAAAAGTATTCTATGTGACGACTTGGGCTGCCAAAACGCCTGCATGCTGAAGGGATTCAAAAATGGTTATTGCTTACTTTTACTATGCATTTGTTTCTAATTTATTCAAATACGCAAATTCACTATGAATGTATGTTGTAGATAATTCACACGTTTCAGTCAGTCAATATTCTGATTATATTTTGAAATACTGCCTTTATATGTACTGCAAGTTATCCTAAATAATTCAATAAAACATCAACAAATTCAAGAAGCATTATACTGAAGCAAATTCAAATCCAAGATAGAGTGGATGTAAACATTGACATGCCCTACGCACGTGATATTGAAAATCCCAAGAATTGGCCAGGGTCGTATTCAGAACCAACATCTTGTTGATCGCAAATGCTATATCATACTTAGGAAAACTTTTTTATAATAACGAGTGAAATGCACAAGTTTTGCAGTTCAACGGGAAAAATGCAGATAATATGTGTAATATAAAACGATTTTCATTGGATTTTTCACAGCGCACTCAAGCATTATATGAAAAGAGACATAATTATTTCTTTATTGTTAATTTTTATTTTATGTAAAATCAAAAGGAATATTAATCAAAATTAATCAACTGGATGAATTTGTCTCTTCATCAGTAGTGTCATCCTCACCAATCTGAATTATCAGTGGCTCGATTTGTGCCTCTATTATGTTATCAAGCTTCCTTATCTTTGTCTCGACTTCCGATATCACATGCCGAACACACTTCTCCCATTTCTCCGCTGTGACTCTTTTCAAAGCCTCATCAAAAAGTACTTTGAGATCTGCAAATTTGAACGTGGTGTTACGCTGAGATTACAAAGTCTTTCACATCCGCCCATATTAACTCGATGGGATTGAGCTCGCAGTGGTATGAAGGCAGGCGAAAGACAATTTTGTTTTGGCCTGCTGCCATCTCATCGACTATATATTTTCGGTATTCAAGCTTGCACTTCTTGACAATTTTTAGTAGCTGTACTCTTAGCATTGAGTCTTCAAAGCTAGTATTCTTTGATCGCAGCCAATTTTGGATTTCAACCTTCTTTGAAGACGTTGTCGGAATCTTTTCTAACCGTCGCGAATGATAAGGTGCATTGTCCATTACAATCACAACATTATCCTCCAGATGGGGTAGAACTTTGGAAAACCACTATTCGAAAGATTCACCGTTCATTTCTTCGTGATAATCTCCAGTTTTATTCGACTCGAAACACCACAGCCCTTCAGCAACAAACCCATTCATTGCCGATGTGACAAATAATAAGCCGTTTTCCTTTACGTGAAATTATGAAGAGGTATGTAAGTAAATAAAACAAATACGAGGGTTACTTTTTATATATTGAGATTGAGGCAGGTTTTAATATAAATATAAGTTCACCTGATGGATTTGTTAATCCGGTGGATAGTCCATCTAGAAAGGCCCTCCTAGATGAGGTCACAGTTTCATCGACCCATACTTTAGGGGTAGTATGACCAACTTTGACCCAGGTCTCATCCATATAATAAATTGTCCTCTGTTGTTCCCTATAATATTTAATTTTGGTCAAATACTCTCTCCTCCATAACACAATTTCCTCTCTATCCAATAATAAACTATTGCGCCCTCGTCTTTTCCATACAATATTCAAACGTTTCAATACTTCATGGAATGTTGACCGCTTAAAACTTGGCAATAAAACATCTTCATTTATTTCTGTGAGTACTTTGTCTATCGTGGGTATTTCATTTCTGAAAAAGTACTCATCCACTTTCCTCCTGATTGCATGTTTATCAGCATCATCTATTGATTTTATAATGGTTTGACGATTCTGATTTGTATTCGGTTTGGAAAATGTATGATTTTGTTTATGTTCCCGTAAAACATTGTAAATCGAAGCGCAACACACTCCAATTTTATCGGAAACTTTCGATACGACTTCGTCGACAGTCGATGTCTCAATTTCTTTCATCTCTTTCTTGAACACATTCAAAATCACTTCTTTCATCTAAACACTCAAATGTCTTTTTTTGGATCGTTTCCTGGCTGGATTCAGAGGATAGCTCACAGTGTCATCAGCATTGTCTGTACTGGACATCTTGGAAAACAATTTTAAACAATATACTATAACGCACTCCACACAAACACGCAAACTACTGATTACAACCCTGTGCTGGTACCGAACTCGTACCAAGAAGGTGAATTCACCAATGAACGCTGCCCTTTCCATCTGACACTGGGCGATCACGTGAACATCACGCTTCGGTTTTGTTTTGTTTTACTCTGTCTTGGATTTGGATAGACTTTAGGTACTTATTGAAAATACCCATAACATGAAATTAGCGCTAATTACTTCTTACCTATTATCCGATAATTGAATAGTATTTTCTCGGAAATGGCCTTAACAAATTCCTATAAAGTCGACTGCAGTCCATTGTAAAATTCAGTCTGGAAAAGTTTGTTTGTGACAACTGAAAGCCATGGCTTCTACAAGCAGGCGTTGTGTGAATAACCCGAACGATTTTTGCTACATATGTGGCGAGTACATTGTAAAGGAAAGTAGAAAACCAGTTTGTGATTTTATAAAAAGGGCATATCAAGCCTATTTTGGTGTTCATTTAGGAGGTTAAGATAAATCCTGGGCTCCACTTGTAGTGTGCAAAACTTGTCTTGAACGCTTGCGACAGTGGACGAAAGGACAACGAAACTGTTTAAAGTTTGGTGTTCCAATGGTATGGAGGGGAACAAAAACTCATTTTAACGATTGTCATTTCTGTCTTGTGAATATAAAGGGCATTAATCGTAACAATCGATATACGTGGACATATTCTAACCTGGATTCAGCAAAAAGACCAATTTCACATCAGCTTGACCAGATACCCATTTCTATATTTAGCAGCCTACCTACGTTACCAGAGTATAATACCAAAACGTTATTTGATGAACTATAGACTAATAGAGTTGAGGAAGACGACAGTGATTTTGAAGAGGATTGAACACGTCCTGAGCGCTTTACTCAGGAAGAGCTAAGCGATCTTATTATAGATTTGAACCCTCCAAAGGATTCTTCCGAGTTGCTTGCACCCAGACTAAAGAAAAATGAACTTCTTCACCCAGACACCAAAATTACATACTACCGTAATAGAGAAAAAGATTTTTTGCCTTTTTTTTCTCAGCAAGGTTATATATTTTTTGTAACAATATTAAAGGACTGTTAAAAAAAATGGGTGTATCGGAGTGTACACCAGATCACTGGCGTCATTTTGTCGACAGTTCCGAACGAAGTTTAAAGTGTGTCCTTCTACATAATGACAACAAATGGAAGTATACCAATTGGGCATTCTACAAAACTGAAAGAATAATATAAAACAATATCGCTGGTGCTAAAAAACATCAAGTATGACCAACACCAGTAGCCGATCTGTGTTGATTTTCAGATGGTTAACTTTCTCCTGGGACAACAAAGTGGCTATACAAAATATCCTTGTTTCCTGTGTCTTTGGGATAACAGGGCTAAGGACAAACACTGGAGTAGAAGAAAATGACGCTCTAGAGATGATTTAGTTCAAGGAGAAGCTAACGTAGTTAACGAAGCATTGGTCTACCGAGAGAAAATAATATTACATTCGTTACATATTAAACTAGGGCTGATGAAACAATTTGTAGAGGCCCTAGTCCAGAGTCGTCCTTGTTTTGAATACTTGTCCAGCAAATTCCTTGCACTTAGTAAAGAAAAATTGAAAGCCGGAATATTTGATGGGCCTCAGATACGACAACTCATAAAAGATTCGCATTTTACAGAATCGATGACTGAATTTGAATGTAATGCATGATGTTCTTTTGTGAAAGTTGTGGAAATTTTTCTTGGAAACAATGAATCGGAAAATTACCGGGATTTACTGAAAGTAATGCTCATCAATTTTAACAAACACTGTTGTCTTATGAGTATTTAAATTCATTACCTCCACAGCCACTTAGACCGTTTTTCAGAAAATCTTGGTGACCTTAGTGAGGAATAAGGGGGACGCTTCCACCAAGATATTAAAACGATGGAAGAGAGGTATCAGGGGAGATGGGACACTCACATGATAGCGGATTACTGCTGGAGTCTTCAAAGGGACCGTCATTTTAAAGCCTTTGCAAGAAAATCATATAAAAGGAAGTTTTTAGGTGACGCCGAATAACAGATTTGTGCTGCAATGCTGGTTAGGTTACATGAAAAGTTTTTTTGGCAGATATGTGTGATGATTTTTGTAAATATATTGTTGTACAATGAATATCTCACTTTTTATTTGTGTCTTGTTTATTTCATGGGTAGCAGCACTACTTATATGTAGGTAGTTTTAGTGTTCTATATGTTAGAAATGTGATGTGTTGTCGTATTTTCTGAAAACGATCTGATGGAGCAAACCTGGTGGCATTTTTTAATTCAGCAGACCCAAATCACCTAGAAAGAGTAAAATAATTTCCGGCAGCAAACTGTGTGTTTACCAGTGTTATCATTAAAAACAAGATGTTTCAATGATCGTCCTCTAGAGTCCTTCAATACGACTATCGACACTTTCACTTTATTGACAAGACTTTCGTATGGTCATAATCCGGGGGATATAAGCTAATGAGTCTTATCATAAGTGCAAGACGACATTAACAGTTTTTTTTTTCTGTAGAGGTCGTTTTGGAAATAGAACGAACCGAAGAAGAAACAGCAAGATTCTTTAGATTTCTTATCAATTCTGAAGACGGAGACAACCTCCGAAACGTTGAGATTACAGAAGGTGAAAATACCCCAAAGAAGTCGTTGTGGTTGTTTCGGAAAGGCTGTTTCTTTCAGTTTATATTCGGAAGTAACTTCTACGCATGATCTACACCACTATTTAAAGAGTTTATTCCGTACTCTATGGTTTTCTTCCTTCCTCTGAATGTTTTCTACAATTTGAAGATGAGGAAGTAAAAAACAAGAAGTATAATCTCAATTGATATTTCTCAGTTGAAAACCTGAGCTCAAAAACAAAGCGTTCGTCGTGATTCAATGCCTGTCAACGCTGTTTTGAATAGTCATTGGCCCCATTGATAGGCTGAACAGTGTATCAGACTCAACTGTCTGTGAAGCATAGATATCTTCCATGAAGATATCATCTATTGGATCGACAGCAGACCCAAGCCTTGTTTATCGAAGATAAACAGCGACCGTTGCAATGACAAGCTTGGACATCAAGCTGAAGGAGAAATGGCTTTCTTCCTTTCCCTGTAGCTCCCTC